ATCTCTATTCAGACCACACACACACACACACACACACACACACACACACACTCACACACTCACACACTCACACACACTCACACACACACTCTCACACACACACACACTCACACACTCTCTCACACACACACACACACTCACACACACACACTCACACACTCACACACTCACACACACACAGTGATTTTTCTAAGTTCATTTTAAGGTGGTTACAGACAATCCCTGTAGTACAGGGTCAATATACACATATATGTGTGAATATACATATTACACACATATATATGTGTATACAGCCTATTTAATTTACATCATGTATATTATCATCAATATGGTTTTTATCATTATATTAGTGAGTTTATTCATTTAGTTTTGTATCATTTTAACTGTTTAATAATAACTGTATTTGTCCCAGTGCAGTTAACTTACAGTACCTGTTTTACTGTTTCTGTTTAATTGTCGGATTTTATTTTAAACCCTGAATCCGGTCATGTATGGCACTTTAAATAAAGTTTATTATATTATTATTGTTATATTTCCTTTAAATCACACTTAATAATTGTATATATGTATATTTATACTGTATATTTTGTCCTCCACCATCAGTTATATTTAGGTTTATACTGTGCAACTTCCTCCTGCTGTAATCTTTGTGCAAATATAATATAATATTAATAATGTTACACACACTGTATATTTAATAATAATTGATATTTATAAATTGTATTTATTATTGAGTTGTTTTTTTGAGCTGCTGTAACAACACGCTGTTCCAGGACTGTTCCAGGACTGTTCCAGGAGTCATTATTGATCACAAAGGTGGTCAGTGTATCTGTTCTCACTACAGCCGACACTCAAGCTCTTTATTTAACCTACAGTTTACTGACTGTAACATTAATTTGAGCAGAGCAACGGTTAAAATAAACTTATTATTTATTAATCTGGTCCTTTGAATCAATTTCCAGGTGTTTCCATGAGATATTGATTAGTTCAGGGTGAAGGTGTGATCAATAAGTCCACCTTCTCTTTACATAGATTTCATTTTCATTCAATTCTTTAATGAACTTAAGTTTAACTTTAACTCGTCAGCCACCGCCGTCAATGGAGGATTTAAAGATGGCGGCTGAATGAACGAACAGGAAGTGAACTGAACATCAATGTTAAAGTTTATATAAAGTTAATATAAAGTTAATATAAAGTTTATATAAAGTTAATATAAAGTTAATTAATTCTAATTAATCAATAATTAATCCTATTTATGTTTTATTTATTTATTATATTTATTAACTGATAGAGTTGGTCTGAATATCAATAATTTAATTAGTAATAATTGATATGATATCGGCTGACACATCTGTAACTGTAATCAATCAATCAACCCGCTTGTGTATCAGTTATTGGTTTCATTGATTACTAATAATCAGCATCTGTAATGTAGAGATAATAAAGATTATCTCATATTTATGACTTTATATCATAATTTAAACTTTTATTTTTTCAATTTTGACTTTTAGTCTAATAAAATCTTTAATAATAATAATAATAATAATAATATAAAAATAAAGATTTTGATCTTTCACAATATCTGGTAATTAAGATAAATACATAAATAATATAAATAATTAAGATAAATAATATAAATATAATAAATAAAGTATCGGTACCATCGGTATCAGATATCGGTCTGCTGTAATAAGATCAATAACACATGATATTGGCAGTATATCAGTGGTTATTGATGATCGGTACCGTGCTGTCTCACCTCCCTTGCAGGGGGTCCGGTGCTGGCTGTGCTGAGCCCGGTAGCCCTCGATCACCTCCCACTCCCCGCTGTCCTTCTTGATGGGGAAGCTGACGCTGAGGACGTGGTTACACGGTTTAATGATCTTCAGGATCCCGCGGACCCGCTTCGTCTTCTGCTCGGGACTCTCCCGGGTCTTCAGGCCCTCCACCAGCTTGTCCTCCACGATAGCGGCTCCCCGGTCGAAGAATCCCTCCACCATGGTGAAGAAGTTCGGGTCGTCGTCCCGGTCCACGGCCTGACTGTAGCCGCGGTAGCGCAGCAGGGACGCGGCCGCCGGCAGAGCGGAGTCAGCGGCGGCGGCGGAGCAGCCGGAGCCGAGGACGGAGCCCGCTCCCCGGGTGAGTATCTCTCCGAAGTACCGGTACATTTTCTGGGTTTAGTGAAGTTGACCGTCCCGGTGGAGGTGAGTGAGCCGGAGTGCGGTAGCAGAGAGTGGGGGAGGGCGAGCAACAGCAGCGGGGAATACAAACAGTCGTACCGCAGCAGCGGCTCCTCCTTCCCGCCGCCCCCTTCCCGCCGCCCCCTTCCGGCCCGCCGCTGCGTGACAGCGTGTGCACGTGCAGCTGCGCGTATTTAAACTCACTAAATGACACGAGACCATGTACAGTAGGCTAGTGCTAGTGCTAGCGCTAGCGCTTTTAAACCGGTCGCTAACTTGTTTAAACGCAACTATAAGACGCAAAAAGTTGCGCCAAGTGGAACTATGAATTTAAAAGTAAAGATTATATCATAAATATGTACATTTTCACTTATTTTGACGTGTTTTCCGTAACTTTATGGATATTTAGGCTAGCGTCAAGCTAGCAACAGTCGGCACAACGGAAACATCCGGTTACAACATTCAAAATAAAAGCATAAAAGGAAGTGAAATATACAAAGTAATAAATAGTATCCATTAATAAAAGTGTACACACACATAAAATATAATATAGATAGATGTGATAGAAGAAGTTGAGAAGCCTTAGGCTGATACTGACGAATAAAAAAGAATGAAAAAGACAATTTATTACTTGGTAAATTAAATATAAATGCACTTTCTGACACTCAACCATCAAAAATACAGTATTTATGTTTAAAATCCAAGTAAAACTATGTTTTTTTTCTTGTACAGAGAATGCATGTAGAAGAGATTTGACACTATAGTGTTAAATAGGTTTGGCCAGAGACTATGGACATTAACTCATAATAGACATGGACACATAATTATCATTTCAATTATCAGTCACACCAAAATGTACCCAGAACACACCTGTCCAAATATTTACCACAATAAAAAGAAAAAAGAAAGAACTCAACACAGAACAAACACAAAAAAAACGGAATAAAAAAAGCAACAGACAAGTTTTAACGCAGGAAACTGAAGTGGCTCCTAAAATGTTCGTAGTTTTAGAATCAAATAAACATTTAGTCATTTGAAATAACTGAAAGTGTGTGTGTGTGTGTGTGTGTGTGTGTGTGTGTGTGTGTGTGTGTGTGTGAAGAGGTTTCAGATGTCTTCTTTTCTAAACTTAGAGTCTGTATCATCTGTCCGTCTCCCAGCGGCTGTAAATAAATGAACCCAAACTCACTCTCTGTATGTTTTATATGTAAATACTTCAATCAGAGACACTGAGTCAACATTCAGACTGTTGTTGAGAGGCAGCAGTTAAAACATTGTCATAAATAAATAAAAGGAATCATGGGAGAAGCAGTGATTGTTAAGGTGGAACTGCTTTATTCAGTGTGTTTAAGGTGGAACTGCTTTATTCAGTGATTGTTAAGGTGGAACTGCTTTATTCAGTGTGTTTAAGGTGGAACTGCTTTATTCAGTGTGTTTAGTGGTTTTAATCAGCGGGTCTGTTTGTGTTGGAGAGGAGGAGACCTCTGTGGATCATTGGGCTCCCGGTAGAAACCTCCTGAACCATGAACACTGAAGGAATCCTAACCGGGAGAAGCTGACTGCAATGACGCCAATGGTGGTGAAGACAACAACTCCCATGATCCCACGCTGCTTCATCGCCTCATCACACTACCTGTTTTCTTATAGTTTGGATGTGAGCGCCCCCTCGTGGCAGAAACCGCACACTGTATGCGTGCAGTGATTCATTCAGGCATTGTGTTCCCTGTGGATGGCTGTGAGCCTCTAGGGGGCGCTAGCAGGCGTTTACACACTCAGTTTTTGAGCTCATGAGTTAAAACATGAGATGAAAATAATGTTCAACCGTCTGCAGGTCCAGAAAGACCTGGACTCAAAGTGGATCAGGTCTGTGCGTCCTGGAGGGAACACGGCGTCCAGCTCAGCTCACGGGGTCTCAGAGGCTCAGACGACTGACGGCAGCAGGTGGAGGAAGAGACGCCGTCAGTGACTGAAACTGAAACACAGCAGGAGCACACACACGTCTGAAAACAGGAAAATACCTGAAAAATATTATATAATGTCTAAAATAATGGCAGAAAATATACAAAATAATACCCAGAAAATACCTTTTAAAAACCAGTAAAATGTCTAAATATTATCTTTAAAATATTTAAAAAATATCTGTAGAAAATTAAAGAAAAACTTTTATAATAAAACAGAACAAAAATATAAATATTATTAATAAATAATACAAATAAAATGAATAGTAGTATAATATATATGTTAAGTATAATATTCATTGTTTAGTTATTCGGGAACCAGAGGACGTCACGTTATAACAAACATACTGTTTTATGATTTTTTAATTAAGATGTTTTCCTGATGAGGTTCCAGTAACTCCTGACTGGAGACCCGTCTGTTAACTGCCCCTCCGCCACCTCCCCCAGCATCCTGCCGTCTGATTGGTGGAGCCGTGGATGGTTATTGTTCCCAGCTGGACGTCTACATGCTGCATCCATGTTCTGTCTCCTCACTGTGAACTGTTTCTGCCGAGTCATGGTTGCATAAGACTTCGGTTTGACTTAAAGAGACGTTTTAATGTGCAACCATGAAGGAAATGATCCAGACTCTCTGTTAAGTAACACCTGATGCTGCTGAAAACATCTGGAAATCAGTTTTACCTGAAAGGTCGGTCTGGTGCACGATCACTGCGTCAACTAAAGCTTCATATGTTGTTGTTTTTATGTTTAAATCCCTGATTTATTTCTGTTTCTATGTCGGGATGAGTCCAACACAGAGTCCACAACACAGAGTCCAACACAGAGTCCACAACACAGAGTCCACAACACAGAGTCCAACACAGAGTCCACAACACAGAGTCCAACACAGAGTCCACAACACAGAGTCCAACACAGAGTCCACAACACAGAGTCCACAACACAGAGTCCAACACAGAGTCCACAACACAGAGTCCACAACACAGAGTCCAACACAGAGTCCACAACACAGAGTCCACAACACAGAGTCCACAACACAGAGTCCACAACACAGAGTCCAACACAGAGTCCACAACACAGAGTCCAACACAGAGTCCACAACACAGAGTCCACAACACAGAGTCCAACACAGAGTCCACAACACAGAGTCCACAACACAGAGTCCAACACAGAGTCCAACACAGAGTCCAACACAGAGTCCACAACACAGAGTCCAACACAGAGTCCACAACACAGAGTCCACAACACAGAGTCCACAACACAGAGTCCACAACACAGAGTCCAACACAGAGTCCAACAACACAGAGTCCAACACAGAGTCCACAACACAGAGTCAACACAGAATCCACAACACAGAGTCCACAACACAGAGTCCAACACAGAGTCCACAACACAGAGTCCAACACAGAGTCCACAACACAGAGTCCAACACAGAGTCCAACACAGAGTCCACAACACAGAGTCCAACACAGAGTCCACAACACAGAGTCCACAACACAGAGTCCACAACACAGAGTCCACAACACAGAGTCCAAAGTCAAAGCTAACATTAATGCTAAGCTAGTGGAACATATTGTCTGATTGTGCTGTTAGCTGGATAACGTTAGCTTGATTGCTAATGGAGAAAAATATTGTCAGCTAGCTTCTTCCAGACTCCCGGGATGATCAGATAACGTTAATTAGCGCGGCTAACATTAGCTTTAGGGCAATATTTATATACAACATTTCACTAAATACAACAATATTAAAACGATTTTAACGTGTTTGTAACCTGCTGATAAACGTCCTCAAATTTAAATAAATCTGTTTTTAACTCATTTTGTCCTGAATAATCTTCCGTATTGATTTCCTCCGCAGACATCATGAGCAAGCGGCCAAAGATCCACGTCTTCCTGGGGGCTCCTCCTCCCTCCTCTGGCCCAGCCCTGGTGTCCGGAGCTGGGGTGGACAGCGGGGAGCATCCCCCTGTCGACTGGAGACACCTGGAGCTCACCTGGCAGGATGGACGTCTGAGGCCGGCAGCAGGTGAGGCGTTCAGGGACCCAACAGGAAGCTAAGAGTGTTACATTTAAACTGTTAATAGATTCATTTCTGTTCATGCATCAGATTTGAACCACAAACTTTAATTATATGAACCAGTTTTAGTTGAATTTATTTATGTTAATTAGTTTATTTCAGGAATATCAGCTTTTATTAGTATGTTATATTCTGTTGTAACTCAGTATGAAACATAAAATAAACATTGTTTTTGTGCAGATTTCTTTATTTTTAATGCAAATATTTTATATTTTTGGTGTTTCATATTCCATATCACATATATTTCACCCGCAATCGTGAATTATTCATTTATTCTCACCATTATTCCTGGGTGTCAAACATTTATTCTTTTCTGATTTGTATACTAATACTAAATACTATTTGTTTTTTCAGTAGTCCAGTTTGAAGTGTGGATTATTTTTTGCCAGACATAAAAATGTGTTAGACATTAAACAGGTATAAAACAAAACAAATAACAGCAGATAAATAAAATAAAGCCAAAAAGTAAAATATACTGTATTTATGCTAAGCTAAGCTAATTTAGTAACTTTAGATTTATAATACAGACATGAGATTTTTTAAATTATATATTTATATATGATTATTTAAACTTTCGTTGATCATTTGAATCATTTCAGACGAGGGCGAAAGGACCAGGATGGAGGACGAGGAAGCTGATCCCGGGAAGGAAGATCAGTGTTCGGCTTCAGTTCACGAGTATCTGGACGGCTGTTTCCCTGCAGAACCAGAACAACCAGAACCTGTAGCAGCCGTCCCTCCTCTGTCGGCCCAGACTCAGTACCTCACTACCTGGACTCTGAGTCAGGCTTTAATCCTGCGAGGCAGACGTGGTGTCCAATCAGCAACCAGCCCTGAGAAAACCCCACCTCCTCAAACCCCGCCCTCCGTCTCCTCCAGCACGCCGGAGCTCTTCAGCCCCGTAACACCGTCTCCGGGAGCCTCTGCAGAGCTCTTCAGCCCGACTCCGAGGGCGGAGGAAGGGGGCGTTGTGGTTGAGACCACCGCAGACGGGCTGCTCTGCTCCCAGGATGCCGAGCAACAAGAGTCCAAAAACTCCCCCGATTTCAAGAGAGCCCGAATCCCAGAAAACCTCAGGACTGAAGAGTCTGTGGTGCCGTCGGATGGTGCCACCGCCGGGCTCCGGGGTGCCACAACACTCCTGACCCGGTGTGTCAAGCTGGGGACACGGTACTCGGTTCTGGTGGCGGTGGTTCACCCCTGTCACCTGAAGGAGGTCAAGGTGGGTGGAGACGTTACGATAAATCCAACGTCCATTTGGATGGATGTTAACATATTCAATTCAGTTCAGTTTTATTTGTATAGCGCCAATTCATAACAAAAGTTATCTCAGGACACTTTTCAAATAGAGCAGGTCTAGCTCATAAACATTTATTTTAAGCTAAGCTAAGCTAACTGGATGTCTGGTAGTAACTTTGATTACTTTCACTGTGCGATTGAGACAAACGATATACTGTTGGCTTTAAGGTGAAGTCCGGGCCGGCAGCAGGAACCTTCGTACCTCTGGCATCCATCGTGGTGACGGACCAATCGGGTGTTGAGATGAAGGTGGTGCTGTGGCGGAGAGCAGCGTTCTGGGCGTTGACAGTCAGTCCTGGAGACGTTCTGCTCATCACAGGTACGAGAATATCTTCTGTCTGCTCCTTTACACGGAGGTTTTATGGAACCAGAAGTGACCATATTTAGATGAGAGGGCTCCTGATGACCGCAGGGTTCGTTGTGTTGATGCTGTCTCTGATCAGGACTGCAGCTGAATGAAGACAGGTGGAGAGGAGAGACGGTGCTGCAGTCGACCTTCAGCAGCAAACTGCTCAACCTGGGACAGATCGTCTCCTCCTCCTCGCCACCAGGTACTGAACCCAGGCTACAACCAATCAGCAGCTTGCAACCAATCAGCAGCCTCCTCAGCTGAGCGTTAAAGTCTCTCTCTCCTCTTCCTCTCTCTCTCTTCAGTCCCTCAGTACGTTGATGCTCGCTCTCTCGGCTCTCTGTGTGGCTTTCTTCGAGAGCGGCGCCCCCTGCTGGTGTCTTTGAACCTCAGCCCCCCCAGGACCCGAACCGCCTCCCTTACGCCACCCTGAGGTCACTGAGGGTCAACACGCTGGTTCACGCTTTGCTGCGTGTCACACACTCCCACATGAGCACAGGTGAGTGGGTCAGGTGACATTAAAACATCCGGATGTATCAACGAGTCTACCAGAATTTCGAGTGATTCAGCAAAATAAAGTGTGATTGAACCATTGACTGTAAATATAACAGAGCTTCCAGGAAGTGTCTTAAACCTGCATTCTGTGTAACGTCCAGCAGGGGGAGCTCCACTGGCTGCAATAACACACTGATCCCATTCACTCTAATGGAGAATGAGACGACTTCATTCATTATCTCAGTAAACAGTTTCCTGATGAGTTTATGGTCTCAGTCTTCTTCCATACAGCATGATGTTCATCATGCACTTAAACACACTACAAACAAAACACACAAAAGTTACACTAAAACACACATTGATGATGATACATTGCAACCTAGCTGAGAAACACACTGGTCCTTTAAACAGTTTGTGATTAATAACGATGTCATCAGCATAGAAACGGACATTTTAACCAACACTGTTTATATAAATACAGAATAGTCTAATGCTGCACCTTCCTCACAGCACGACAACACGAAACACGGATGACGATATGTTGCTATGGTGACGTCGTATAGTTTACAACAAATGGAATAAAATATATGAAACAAAGTTATTTTGTGAACATTAATTTAAGCCATTTATTGATTATCAGCCCCCAGATTGTTCATGCTTTCTCCTCGTGTGAGGCAGCCGACATCTGGTGTTCTCTACCGGCCTCACCTGAGTTTACCACCCTGCTCTCATCCACTAATCCACTACTTTCTGTCTATGATTCTGTATGAAAGCAGCATAATAACTGATCCCTGTGGAACACCACCGGGTACTGAAACGTGTATTATTGATTCTGAGTCTCAATGAATTGTTTGGGTGTCAGCATGGCGGAGCGAGGCGGAGTCTCGCTGCAGGTCCGCTGTTCAGCTGAAGGCCGTTCTGACTGTGGAGCAGCCGGACGGTCAGCAGGGGGCGCTGCTGTTGTGGGGAGCAGCTGTGGACTGGCTGCCTCGCTTTAACCAGGACAGAGGTACACACACACACACACACACACACACACACACACAGAGGAAGTAGCTATATGTATGTAGACACAAACCTTGAAGCGATCCTCTGTGTCCGTCAGCGGCTGTGTGGGACTTCCGTGTCCTCCTGGTGAGGGACGGTTTGCCAACCGACCTCCCGGAGCTGCACTCCACCCCCTGGAGCTCCGTCCGGCCTTTGGACCCCGCCAGCCGCAGAGCACAGGACTTCTTCCGACCGCGACCTGTTTGGACAGGAGACAGTCTGGAGCTGGACCTGGACACGCTGCTGTCCCAGAGATACAGTGGTAGGTGATACTGGGTCCAGAGCTGGTTCAGGATCTAATTTATCACTGGTTCCCAACCTCCTCCCAAAGGAACCCTTTCTGTCTTTTATAAACCTACTCAGTGACATATTTTATGGATATTAAATATTATATTAAAACTGCACAATGAACCCAAACAGAGAACTCAGTGAAGTTTGTGTAAAAATAAGTCATTCGGATTTGAACAGATTATTTCCTGTTGATAGAACTTTTTATACAGTTCTCTGTCTGTATTCTGTGTTTCAGTAGAACTATCAATCTTTCTGACATATTCAGGAGCTTTGGCAACCCCCTAGTGCGGGTCTCGACCCCCAGGACACACGCTTTTATTTAAACTAGTATAGGACCTAAATTCCCCCCCTGAGGCACCTGTGCAGGTAAATCAAAGCTGCTCTCTCCTCCACCAGGTGACGTGGAGCTCAGAGTCCAGGTCTCCGCCTTTCACTTCCAGAACTTTCTGCCTTCCCAGAATGCACCGCAGCCGCTCCTGGACAGCGCCACCCCGCTGGACGGTATTCTGGCGGCGCTGAGTGGCGACATCACCTACACCGGCTGCGGCCGCTGCTCCATGGAGCTCGACACCGACGCCAACGGCATCTACAGCCCTTGCTACCCCTGCCTGCCGCACACCGCCGTCCGCCGCTACTACAGGTACAACGGACGCCATATATACATATATATAATATTATATATGTTATATATGTTATAGTATATCATTATCTGATATTATATATTATTATATTATATAATATTATGTGTGTGTGTTTCAGGCCAGGTGTGCTGACAGTGAGTGGGCGGGGCAGCACTCAGGTGTGTGTTCAGGTTCCTCCGGTTCCACTGCAGAAGATTCTCGAAGCTCCGCCTGATAAACTCCACAAGAGCTCAGGTAAAAGGACTGAAGTACTCCATTACTGCAGCAAAAGTATGAATACTCTTTTGCTTTTAAATCAGATTAATTTGTTTTCTTCAAGTATTTAGTCATTGATCTATTTATTGATTATGTATCGATGGTTTCATATTTTATAGACTCTTTGTGTAGAAAGCTGTCAGATTAATGTAATAAAGTTCAGAGAAGAAGCAGAAATACTCGAGTAAAAGACACAATTAAACAGAAACACTCTGTCGCCATCTGCTGGTGCAACTCGAAGGAAGAAAATATTAATTTAATAACTGATTACAGATCAATAACTGGGTGCTGTTGGACAGTATTGATCTGTTTGTAACTGCATTCTGATTGTATGATGTTTACATGTTTACAAAACAACAACAAACCTTATCTTTATGGATGATATTGATCAGTATACACTGTATCTTTATTGATTATTGATCAGTACACACTGTATCTTTATGGATGTTATTGATCAGTATACACTGTATCTTTATTGATTATTGATCAGTACACACTGTATCTTTATGGATGATATTGATCAGAATACACTGTATCTTTATGGATGATATTGATCAGTATACACTGTATCTTTATTGATTATTGATCAGTACACACTGTATCTTTATGGATGATATTGATCAGTATACACTGTATCTTTATTGATTATTGATCAGTACACACTGTATCTTTATGGATGTTATTGATCAGTATACACTGTATCTTTATTGATTATTGATCAGTACACACTGTATCTTTATGGATGATATTGATCAGTGTACACTGTATCTTTATGGATGATATTGATCAGTATACACTGTATCTGTATGGATGATATTGATCAGAATACACTGTATCTTTATGGATGATATTGATCAGTATACACTGTATCTTTATGGATGATATTGATCAGTATACACTGTATCTTTATGGATGATATTGATCCTGTATTGACAGTCAGACTGTGGACATATGACGGCCTTTAGCTCGTGTTTCTAGAGTTACGTGTTGTTACGAACACGTTAGGAATTGTTAAAATGTGATATTTCTTAAAGGGAGTTTGGTGCAGGGAGCTTTTAGTTGGATTCAAACTGCTGATATGGATCATTGTTAACTGTAACTGCTAAAGTCTGATAAGGTTGTCTGATGGTATTAGTTTATTGATTAATGCTTTAATAATGGGAGTATTGATTACTGACGCTGGCTGAAGTCTTTCTCTCCGCTCTGGCTCTCAGCTCCAGGTTCGGAGGTGAAGTACATCCAGGTGGCAGCGGAGAGGATCCAGACCCTCCTCTCCCTCCCGAGAAAAATCTTCATCATCACCGTCCGGAGCCACTTCCTGTGCGACGAGAACAGCGTCCCCATCAACCAGGATCTCACACTGCTGGACCTTCAGTTCCCCAGCTGATGAACATCCAGACCAGCTTCCTGTCAGATTGTTGTAACAAATGTTATCCAAAGGCTGACGAGGTTTGGAGATTTAAATGTACTTTTATAGACGAGATTGGAACCTTATTGAAGCTCTTGTTGCTAAAACCAGCTAACTGCTGCTAACGGGTATATTTTACATGAAATCGTGTGTCATTTATTGTATTTTTAATGTTTAATTAAAGATATTTACACATGTAACAAACAACGAAGTTCTGTTATTATTTGATTTTTCTCATTTTAATCTGAACAATTAAAAGAAGAATATTGTTGCATCGTTCTGTTAGACAAGGTATAAAAATCCTACATTAGATTTGGATGAGCCTTATACCAGAGTTAAAAAGAGTATTTATATCCATTATTACTTTCTACTGGGTATATTACAAATAAACAGGAAAATAAAGGTAATTTAGAGATTTCAGGTTATTTTCAGGTGATTATACACTGATAAAAACATACCTGTCCCTTACATGCATAGAGGTCACTACAGTGTACAGTCACTAGCTATATTTAAACTACAACTCATAGGCTACAATTAGTCTATTACTGCTGCTGTTCTTCATCTGCAGTAACTTTTTTTGGCTGTAAATCAACTTGTTTATGTTTTTAGAATGTAACTTGAAGTTTGTGTATATCTTTATGTTTTGAATATATCAGGAGCAGAGCGTAATAGACAGGCCTACGAGATAGTGGAGGAATTACCACTGTCAAGTGAGGAGGATGATGCTAGTAGCAGTGAAGAAGAACGGCTGCCAGAACAGGAAAGATTAGCAAATGCTAGCAGTAGTGACAGTGGAGCTGAGGACACTGAGTCTGGAAAGGATGCTGAGGGAGATGAGGATGCGTCACCTGACAGAGCTTGAAGGAAAAAGGCAACGAGTTTGAGGGAGACTTGCCTCCTTTTCTAGGAGAGTGGAAAGTGAATGTTGAGGGAACAGAACCAATAGATTTCTTCATGCATCGATTTCCCCAAGACCTGATAGATGTTATAGTGCACAATACAAACCTGTATAAACTCCAAAAAGGAAGAGAAAATCTGACCTTGACATCACATGAGTTGAAAACATTTCTAGGAGTAAATATGGTGACCTGTCATACATCAGATACCCAAGATCAAGAATGTACTGGTCATCAGAGGCAGGACTTCATCTTGACTTGAAAGCAGATGCAATGCCAGTGAACAGATTGGGGCAGATTCTGAGCTACAATAACTTTGTTGATAACTTGTCACATGTCCCTGAAAATGCAGATAAGTTCTTCAAAGTTTGACCAGTGTTGGATGAACCTTTCGTTCAGCAGTCGATCCTGAAGCACTTCAATCGATAGATGAACAGATGATTCCCTACAAGTGCCACCTGTCTCTCAAGCAGTACATCCCCAAAAAGCCCAAAGCCCTGGGGTGTGAGCGTGTGGGTGAGAGCAGGATCCTCTGGATACATGTACAGATTGTAAGCCTATCAGGGTTCAGCTGGGGGGCAAGGTCAGATCAGTCAGGCATTGCGACACCAAAGGGATCTATGGCACACGCAGAAACAACAGGCTTCACGGAGCACAACTGAAAGTGAAGAGTGAAAAGCAACTACAGCGAGAAGGAAGAGGATCTATGTCACACGTTGCAGTGTTTCCTCTATGTTGATTTTGGAGTGGCAGCCCGCCACTGTTAAATTTCTGCCGCCACGGTATCAGACGGTCCTGCCCCCACTGCTAAAAAAAATCCTAGAGGAAACACTGCGTTGGTTAGATAGTTCAGGGATCCACATGGCCTCTTCCTGCACTGGACAGTCTCCATCAGATGTGGCCCAGAGATGGAGCAAGAAAGAAAAGAAGATGCTCAACATCCCAAGGACATTTTCCATGAAGCTGTACAATCAGCATATGGGAGGAGTGGATCTCATGGATCAGTGTGTTGTAATGTATCCCCACAGACACAGAAACAAACGGTGGTACATCCTGGAAACCACTGGCCCCAGCTTGCCGACAGATGCCATGATGCTGCGTGCACACGGAGAACGAGATACATCTGTTTGCAGTGTCTTCTGGCTTTGTGCCCCGGCTGTTTGCCAATTATAGAAAAATAGTCTCTACCCAAGGAGCATACACTGTTTTCACCTGGCTTATAGTTCTGATTTGGCTGACAGTTGATGGATCGTGAGCGACAGACTTGGGAATCTATACAGGAGAGTGAATTCCTCAATGGTGTTTTGGTTATGCATGCATAAATTATATTATTTATATTATCACATTTCAACACATTATATATAATTTTATTTTATTCATTTGTTTGTTGAAGAAATCCTGAAAAGACACTGATCCTCCAGAGATCTGCTAATCATTGTCTGAAATTATTAATGTGGGTGGGAAGTTTGAGTCTCAGCTTTCAGTTTATTCAGTTCCAGCACTGTTTATGGAGCCCAGTGTGCAGAAATATTCAAAAACAGTAAAAAGAACTGCATTCAGTGAACATAAAGTGACATAAAGAGACTTGTAGGTACCAGTTTTCCACCACCAAAGCTGAGCCTCACTTTCTTCCTTCCTAGCATGATTGGTCCACCCTCTGGACACACCCCTGGATCAACAGACGGCTACAGAGATACAGGAAAGTTACTCAACACTCAGACAGTCATCGCAGACCATCTCAACAAACCGGAGGATTGCAGGCACTGAAGAAGCTAGTGAGTATGAAAATATATCCTGGATTACATCTTAGATATGAGTTTTAAAGACATTGCCTCCTCTCTCTCTGTCTCTCTCTCTCTGTCTCTCTCTCTCTGTCTCTGTCTGTCTCTCTCTGTCTCTGTCTGTCTCTGTCTCTCTCTCTTGTCTCTCTCTCTGTCTCTGTCTGTCTCTCTCTGTCTCTCTCTGTCTCTGTCTGTCTCTGTCTGTCTCTCTCTCTGTCTGTCTCTCTCTGTCTCTGTCTGTCTCTCTCTCTCTCTCTGTCTCTCTCTCTCTCTGTCTGTCTCTCTCTGTCTCTGTCTGTTCTCTCTCTCTCTCTGTCTCTCTCTCTCTCTGTCTGTCTCTCTCTGTCTCTGTCTGTCTCTCTCTGTCTCTCTCTGTCTCTCTCTGTCTCTCTGTCTGTCTCTCTCTGTCTCTCTCTGTCTCTCTCTCTCTCTCTCTCTCTCCTGATGTGAACTCGACCTTGTACTTTAGTGCTTTCAGTCAGTTTTCATTTCCTGTGGTTTTAGTGGTCATATTAATGTTTTCTAATGACTGACTGTTTGTTCCACGTTGGGTCAGATCTCACGGTACCCAGAGCCATATCCCATAATCCTTCCCTCTTGCCATGTTGAGTTCATGGGTTGACTCAGCATTAACTCTTTCCTGTAAGAGGAGGGTCCGTGTTTGTTGTGGTCATTGGATTGTCCTTTCAGAAACGGTATTTTGAAAACCGGAAGTAAATACGCTGTTTCTCCGCATTTACCATAATGCTGAGAATACTTGTACACTGTAAATTTAAGTGCGGCTGATTTGACCACGGAGATCGGACTCACGGCTGGATTGACCGCAGTCTACTAGCCTACTGTTTCTTCTACACAGCACCGTCCTGTTAATGACAACATCCGGTCTCAGAATATGAAACAACAGGACTTTTTTCTGTTTCTGTTTTCTAGTGATTTTATTTTTTGTTATATGAAATAGAAAATGAAAATCGAATCATTTTTTAAATTTCGCTCATCCCTTTCTGACCATGAAAAAGAAAAACGCCTTGTATTTCAATTTTAATTTTTGTATTTTAAAACGAAAATCAAATAACCACTCGTTTTCTGTTTTTAATACCCGTTTCTGAAAGGAAAATCCAATGACCAAAACATACACGGACCAGTCAGTAACATCAGTAATGTAAATGTGGATGTGTGTCAGTCAGTAACATCAGTAATGTAAATGTGGATGTGTGTCAGTCAGTAACATCAGTAATGTAAATGTGGATGTGTCAGTCAGTAACATCAGTAATGTAAATGTGGATGTGTCAGTCAGTAACATCAGTAATGTAAATGTGGATGTGTGTCAGTCAGTAACATCAGTAATGTAAATGTGGATGTGTGAGCAATGAAAGTGAAAACAAAGCAGAAATCAAACTGAATATTTACCTTCTTCTCTCAGTGATCTTTGCTGCCACCTTGTGACCAAACATAGTAACGGCATTAGTAGCAGCCAGTGTTCAACCTTCAAAAACATCTCAACAATTCTAAATCAGATAATGAAAAATGTACAACCTGTTTATATATGTATGTATCAAGAGAAAAAAAACGTTTTGTCTTTCTTGAGAACAACAAACATCAGAATCATAAATACTTTATTGATCTTCAGGAAATTCTCTCCAGACAATGATAAGACCGACATATTACAAAGAAGGTTTTATTGTTTAGAAGCACAACCCACGCCCATCTCCTCATCGGTTAGAGCATCTGATCACACAACAACTGACCTGCATACACATTGTTAAAATCTTAAGAAACCACAGTTTCAGACTCTCTGAGGGCTCCTGCCTGTATAGCACAGCACAACCTCACTGGGAACTTAATATCTGGTTGCTCTGCAGGTTGAGGACACGATGGAGAAGGTTCCAGGTAAAAGCACATGTAAGAAAGAGGAAGAGGAGAAGGCAGCAGACGCTGGTGAGGCCTCCTCTTCTGAGGAAGACGTGCAGAAGTCCGCTGCACAAAACAAGGTAAGTTTCATGAAGGCAAATAACCACCAATGCAACATTAGGAAATAGTTCTTATGGTCTTTTTTTGCTAGCAGCATCTTTTTAAAGACATTATTTACTCCTATGCTCAGGGGCAAATGGAGACAAAGGACGGAAGAGAGAGGACTCCACCAGCTGAAATTGACGCTTTGGGTCAAGTTCTGCAGGAGCTGAACGTTTCAGGTAAAAATGTAAATAGTGCAACAGTTACCACATTAACAAAGTACGACGGAGTATTAGGGCCAGACTAAGTAAAAAATTATTTGTTTTTGGGGGGAAATTACGAGAATAAAGACGTAACATTACGAGACAAAAGTCATAATATTAAGAGAATAAAGTCGTAATAATACAAGAAAAAAAGTCATTTTAATGGGAAAAAACTACGATAATCAACTACGAGTTATCAAGATCTGACGTGAGCAGCTCAACCAATCAGCAGCCTCAGCCTGAGCCCAGCAGCCGCTGTTTGTCTCAGTCGTACCGTACAGTCAACAGGTAAACTAACGTATTGATCATTTCGTTGTTAAACAGTTTTGCTGGCTGAGCCAACAGGCTGACAGTTCTAATAAAATTACGACTTTATTCTCTCAATATTATGACTTTATTCTCATAGACCTAATATTATGACTTTATTCTCATAGACCTAATATTATGACTTTATTCTCATAGACCTAATATTATGACTTTATTCTCATAGACCTAATATTATGACTATATTCTAGTAATTTCCCCCCAAAAATATAATTTCTTCTCTTAGTCTGGCCCTAATACTCTGTCGTAAAAAAGGAACCAAGGTGCAAGACAACCTGAAATTAAAGCTGCAAGCAGTCGCTGCTCGGGCTCTAATGACACAATCTAACGTATCAATAATGAGGATTAAACACAGTCACAGTATAGTTACACAGCTAATTATATTCCATAGACAAAGGCTGTCTGTGGGTGATGGACTGATGGTAAACAAGTTCAGAGAGGTGAGGACTCGAGATGGGAACCAGGCCCAGGTAGTGATACGTGCAATAAGCAGTGTGGGTGGTAGAAGTTGGGACGAGGTGACCTGTGTGGGAGAGAGATGGGTCATTAGGTACCAGACATCAGCGGCCACCAAGAGACATCCTATGAGACAAAAGGAATATAAGTGCAGTTAAAAGCTTGTATTTTCCTATCCACAATAACTCTTAGATGACTTTCACTACTACTGTAATTGGATTACTTTTCCCAGTGAAAAGGTAATGTAATTTAAATCTCTCTGGCTCACAAATAATAATCTCCGGATAGAAGAATGACAGAATATGTGTTGGTACCGACACATAAGCATCCTTCTTTTAAGGAAATTAAAAATTATTCACTCTACGATTCTATGTTTTATTTACCACATTGTTCAGCCCTACACATGAAGTCTTCTCTCAATTTTGACATACATAGATTTACTTTATTTTGATTGGATATAACACATATTGTTTGTATTCCAGTAACAGCAATTAAAAGGAAATACTAATGTAACTTTTGTTTCCCTCTTTGCAGAGACCCAAGAAGAACAAATACCGCAGAGCTCAGGAGGAAATGCCAGTGCTGCAGTAGGAAATGTCAGTGCTGTAGTAGGAAATGTCAGTGCTGTAGTAGGAAATGATTTCACCTGAAGGTGGTGCTGTTTCACAAACTGTTGTGTTTCACTATTATAACTCGATTTGGTTTTAAATCCCAACACTTTTTTTTATTGGCTCAGCACAGGAAACATTCATTGTGATCACAGTTTACATAAATTGATATTCTAAATGATATATTTAGCTGGTTATCAACTCATGTCTTGGATTAACATCCTTTGTGTACACTCTGTTATTCTTTTAATCTGATCTTTCAACAGAAGGAAATATTTCCAGGATCGGGTGTATTCGTGACCAGTGATGTGTGGGATAAAGCCAACGAGGCTGACACTGGGACAAAAATGGCCAGGAAGCTGGTGATGGGTGTGTTCGACAGAGAAACACTGATGCAAAGCAACTTGAGGGGTCAGTATTGTGAGTAGCACCTGATCAGTCAATTACTTTACAAGTGAATCTAATAAAATCCCACTCTCTCAGGAGGGAAATGTAAAATTGGAGACATGCCGCAGAAGGAAGCCCTTGATCAGAGAAAAGTGAATGCCATTATCGGTGAGTTAATTTTATTTTGTTTAATTGTGTCTATCTATCTATCTATCTATCTATCTATCTATCTATCTATCTATCTATCTATCTATCTATCTATCTATCTATCTATCATGTTTCAGTTGCTTTCTTACATCGTAAATGACGTTATATATCAATCATATATCGATCATATATCGGTGTGTAGAGTAAATATACTTACTATGCCCAGATGTTTGGGGGTAAAGACTCGTCAGACAGATCATTTCAATTCTGATTGGAGAAATGTACCAAAGTGGCTGAGAGAAACTGTAATCTACACCAGCATGAAGACTCATTACTTTGCTCTGCATGTTTCTAGATGCTGTTCTCAAGAAGTTCCCGGAGAAGACCAGGGGTGAAATTGGAAAGGCCATAAATGATAAAATACAGAGCCTCAAGACTCCAATAAAAAAAGAAAGAGGCAATAATTAGAGTCCAAGCAGATTGTGAGTTTCTTATTGAACTCTTCATCATCACTATATCCTGATGCTCTGCTGACAAATACAAATCTACAATAAAAACATGTTTTACATGACCTCTGTGCTCCATTGTTATATCTTTTGTAATCTGGAATGTAATTTATGTCCCCGACTAGAAGACGTCACACATTTAAAATATTAATGTGAAGATTTAAACCTCTATATATTAACAGCAGCCTGTTAAACACCCACCGGCTCCTGTTTCTGCCCACTGTGAACTCTTTTGGTTCAAACCAACCTGATAAACAACAACAACAAAAAAATGACAAAATATCTATATTAAAATAGTTTTTAGCTTTAATTTGACATAAAATCTTATTTTGTTGTCTCTTTCATGTTTAATTAAAGATATTTACACTGTAAAACCAATGCAATGATCTATAAATACAGGTGCACTCTGCTATAACAGAAACGACCAGAGCCTCTGTGTGGAGGACTGCGAAGTAGTCCAGTTTCTCGGAGGATATCAATGCAATGGAGGTGGTTGTTGAGTGAGTGGAGGTTGGCGGTGGAGTAGAGCGGTGGCGTGATCCAGGTGTGGAGCGCCAGCACAGAGCTAGTGCTAGCTTGTACCCAGAAGTCGAGTGTCTGTGGATGAAGAGATGACGTGTACCCCAGGAGTATCCACGGGATAATCCACAGCATAACAGCAGCAAATAGCCAATAATCCGATGAGGAGGAGAGGGCCCGCCGACGGGGGGGACTTCACATGTAAGAAGCATATAGATAGCAGTGAATTAGTTTGCTCTCCAACTTCAGAAGACTGCCGAACCAGACAATCTGGTGTGGTGAGGCGTAGGTCAAAAGACAAAGACTTCATCGTAGACTATTGTCAGAGATGGAGCAGCAGCCAAGGTAGTGTCACTAATTTTACATAATTTTAGAAATGTAACAGTATTAAACTTGAATTTAACAGTTTAATACATGAAATAAATAATATATATAGATTAGATCTTTTTTATGTTAATAACAATGTTAATAAGAAATTACAGATTTTTCACGTTATTTTCAATTCATTATAATTCAGTATGTTTTAAACTGTATTAATATTTCCATGTATTTAAAATAAAACCTGTAAACCTGCAGATTATTTTATAGTTTAGACATTCAAACAACTTATTACAACTTGAGGCCCAAACTGGGTTATTTATTGTTCTGCTTATTCAGTCCAACCAATTATCAATGAGCTGGATGAGCTACAGAATATCACAATATCTGCTTGTCAGAGATCGAGGCGTCGAGGGTACATTTTCACCAAAAAAATAATTTAATAAATGAAAAATGTGAAAATAACCAATTTACAAAATATACAAAATGTTCTGGGCCCATAAAAGAGGTCAACTAAACAGAACTTAACTCAGACTACATTAACTGAACAAACTGACCACACTCAACCAACCAACCTAACCGACCTCCATAAACTGAGACACTGGGGAAACTTAAATGGTGGCTGATCAGGCCACTCTGACACACCTGGGGAATAGACTAAAACACAACATTTTAACAAACCATAATCACCTCAAATAATATTCAGATAATGCAGCCAAATATTATTAAAGAAAATACTGAAATATTAAACATCAGAAATAACTAAACTCAAACGAGGAGAAATCACTGCCTCTCCCCATGATTTCGGCCAACATGGTGTAGCTTATTATTGGCCCAACCCCTTTTAAGCCTCTCTGATTCAGCTGGCACTTCCTTTGTCAGCCATGAGACACCTTCAGCAGCAGCACCCAGGAACTGGTAACTCAAAGAAAACTGGATTAATGCAATGAAGAATAACCTAAATGAATGAACCTAATAACACTACCCACAATTGACAAAGGAAGTTAACTAATGTAATAATAATAATAAAACTGTATTATGAATCCAAAATCTGTGTCCAGTTATTTATTGTGAATTGTGTCTAATGTTTTAAATCTAAATACAACTAAACCTAAAGATAATCAAACAAGTGAAAGAGTTAGCACCAGGTGCTTGTTGTTGCCTGTGTGTGGCTGCTAGGGTGGCCATAACACCGCTCATATATCACATCATCAATGCAGTATTGGATCAATATAAAATCATCCAGCTTCAAATACATTTTGACATGAATCCGTTATTAAATCACTTCCCAGCTCGCACTTAAACTGAGAAAGACGTGTGACTGATGAATCTGTACATTTTACATGTTGTTGAATCGAGATTTAGAAAGTAAAACAACCAATAAAGGAAATCAAAGACAGCCTGTGTGTATAAAACTGCTCATATGTCAGATAAACCTGCAGAAATCAAGTAATTAGCATAGCATGAGGTAACATCAGCGAGCTCTCAATAGCTGCTTGCATCTAAGATGGCGCCACGTACGTTGCCTCGGTGTGGGTGCGCTTTGTTTTTTCTTGTTTTGTTTGTTGTCAGTTTTCGGCTGTGATACCCAGAGCTTTTCCACTAGAGAAGAGCTCATGAACATCAGGAGAACAACCGCAGCTGATCTGTTTCCCACTTTTCTTCTTTCTTCCGTTGAAATATTGGACATTGTGGTCAACGGTGCCCTCACCTTTGCCCGCGCAGTGAGATGCAGGAGGAGAGGGAAACGTGCCGCCAGCACGGACATCGCACACCATTACCTGGAATATTCCTCTCCAACGTGCGTTCGCTGTGCAATAAAACTGACGAACTTCAGCTACTTCTAAGGAAAAACAGACTATGCAAACCTGGTGAAAACTACAAGAAACGTCTGACCTCTGTGCTTGCCAACAAAGGTTTCTCCACCAAGTATTAAGTCCTATTGTTCTATGGATCAAATACTTATTTAATGCGAAAATATGATAAAACATTTATAAAATGTATATGATGTTGTTGTTCTGGATTATTTTGTGATATTCTGTCTCTCAATGTTCAAATGTACCTATGATTTAAATTATACACAGTTCCATTCTTTGGGGGCAAACCTACAAAATCAGCAAGGGATCAAATAAATATTGCTCCCACTGTATCTATACGGGAGAGTGAATCTCTCCTTAGTGTTTTGGTTATGCATGCATAACTTATATCATTTTATAGTTCAAATCACATTTCAACACACTTTATTATATAATTTTATTCATTTGTTTGTTGAAGAAATCCTGAAAAGACACTGATCCTCCAGAGATCTGCTAATCATTGTCTGAAATTATTACCGTGGGTGGGAAGTTTGAGTCTCAGCTTTCAGTTTATTCAGTTCCAGCACTGTTTATGGAGCCCAGTGTGCAGAAATATTCAAAAACAGTAAAAAGAACTGCATTCAGTGAACATAAAGTGACATAAAGAGACTTGTAGGTACCAGTTTTCCACCACCAAAGCTGAGCCTTACTTTCTTCCTTCCTAGCATGATTGGACCACCCTCTGGACACACCCCTGGATCAACAGACGGCTACAGAGATACAGGAAAGTTACTCAACACTCAGACAGTCATCACAGACCATCTCAACAAACCGGAGGATTGCAGGCACTGAAGAAGCTAGTGAGTATGAAAATATATCCTGGATTAGATCTTAGATATGAGTTTTAAAGACATTGCCTCCTCTCTCTCTGTCTCTCTGTCTCTGTCTGTCTGTCTCTCTCTCTCTCTCTCTCTCATTCCACGTTGGGTCAGATCTCACAGTTTCCATGGCCATATCCCATAATCCTTCCCTCTTGCCATGTTGAGTTCATGGGTTGACTCAGCACTAACTCTTTCCTGTAAGAGCAGGGACAAACCAAACACTGCCTCATGAATCAAACCATTCAGGAAAAACACAATGTTCTTAAAAGTATTTATACATTGTGTCATAACCCGGCTCCAAGGCCATGACAAATACGGAGAAGGACACAATAGATGGCAGATAGTGAATTTATGATAGTAACTTACAAATGTGGATGTGTGTCAGTAACATCAGTAGTGTAAATGTGGATGTGTGTCAGTCAGTAACATCAGTAATGTAAATGTGGATGTGTGAGCAATGAAAGTGAAAACAAAGCAGAAATCAAACTGAATATTTACCTTCTTCTCTCAGTGATCTTTGCTGCCACCTTGTGACCAAACATAGTAACGGCATTAGTAGCAGCCAGTGTTCAACCTTCAAAAACATCTCAACAATTCTAAATCAGATAATGATAAATGTACAACCTGTTTATATATGTATGTATGAAATAGGAAATAAGAGGAAATAAAAGAGAGAAATTCTCTCCAGACAATGATAAGACCAACATATTACGATAAGGTTGTATTGTGTAGAAGCACAACCCACGCCCGTCTCATTGGTTAGAGCATCTTATCACACAACAACTGACCCGCATACACGTTGTTAAAATCTTCCCACTTCCAAATCCAGACCCAGTGGGGTTTAAGAAACCACAGTTTCAGACACTCTGCAGAAGTCCGCTGCACAAAACAAGGTGAGTTTCATGAAGGCAAATAACCACCAATGCAACATTAGGAAATGGTTCTTATGGTCTTTTTTTGCTAGCAGCATCATTTAAAGACATTATTTACTCCTATGCTCAGGGGCAAATGGAGACAGACGGACGAGAGAGGACTCCACAAGAAGATATTGACGATTTGGGTCAAGTTCTGCTTGAGCTGAACGTTTTAGGTAAAAATGAAAATACTGCAACAGTTACCACATTAACAAAGGAACCAAGGTGCAAGACAACCTGAAATTAAAGCTGCAAGCAGACGCTGCTCGGGCTCTAATGACACAATCTAACGTATCAATAATGAGGATTAAACAAAGTCACAGTAGAGAACTGTAAAAGAAGTCTGAGGGACTCATGATTTAAAAAGCCTTTAATATCTCACGCCTATTTAATCAAAGTTGTGGTGGGAAAATGCATTCAGGGATAAGGTTCTGTGAACATGAAGCAAACATTATCATATTGTGTTATTTCACGTACCTTTCTATATGGAAACAGTATAGTTACACAGCTAATTACATTCCATAGATGAAGGCTGTCTGTGGGTGATGGACTGATGGTAAATAAGTTCAGAGAGGTTAGGACTCGAGATGGGAACCAGGCCCAGGAAGTGATCTGTGCAATAAGCAGAGGAGGTAGGAGATGAGAAGGGAGTGTGGGTGGTAAAAGTTGGGACGAGGTGACCTCGAAGTTGAATCAGGATGAAAAAGGAAAACTGCACATCAAACTGTGGGAGAGAAATTAGGTACCAGACATCAGCGGCCACCAAGAGACATTCTTGGGGACAAAAGGAATATAAGTGCAGTTAAAAGCTTGTATTTTCCTATCCACAATAACTCTTAGATGACTCACTACTACTGTAATTGGATTACTTTTCTCAGTGAAAAGGCAATGTAATTTAAATCTCTCTGGCTCACAAATAATAATCTCCGGATAGAAGAATGACAGAATATGTGTTGGTACTGACACATCAGCATCCTTTTTTAAAGGAAATTAAAAAGTATTCACTCTACGATTCTGTGTTATTTTTTTTACCACATTGTTCAGCCCTACACATGAAGTCTTCTCTCATTTTTTTTTTAAAGTGCATTAAAATATCTTTAACTAAATGGTAATAAATAAATCAATACATGGATTAACTTTAGTTTGACTGGATATAACACATATTGTTTGTATTCCAGTAACAGCAATTAAAAGGAAATACTAATGTAACTTTTGTTTCCCTCTTTGCAGAGACCCAAGAAGAACAAATACTGCAGAGCTCAGGAGGAAATGCCAGTGCTGCAGTAGGAAATGCCAGTGCTTTAGAAGTAGGAAATGTCAGTGCTGTAGTAGGAAATGTCAGTGCTGTAGTAGGAAATGCTACTCCTGCAGTAGGAAATGTCAGTGCTGTAAGTAGGAAATGGCAGTGCTGCAGAAGTAGGAAATGCCAGTGCTTTAAAAGTAGGAAATGTCAGTGCTGTAGAAGTAGGAAATGGCAGTGCAGAAGTAGGGAATGTCAGTGCTGCAGAAGTAGGAAATGTCAGTGCTGCTAGAAGTAGGAAATGTCAGTGCTGCAGGAGGAAATGTCAGTGCTGTAGAAGTAGGAAATGTCAGTGCTGTAGTAGGAAATGTCAGTGCTGTAGAAGTAGGAAATGTCAGTGTTGTAGAAGTAGGAAATGCCAGTGCTGCAGAAGTAGGAAATACTAGTCTTGCAGTAGGAAATGTCAGTGCTGTAGTAGGAAATGCCAGTGCTGCAGAAGTAGGAAATGTCAGTGCTAAAGAAGTAGGAAATGCCAGTGCTTTAAAAGTAGGAAATGTCAGTGCTGTAGAAGTAGGAAATGTCAGTGCTGCAGAAGTAGGAAATGGCAGTGTTGTAGAAGTAGGAAATGTCAGTGTTGTAGAAGTAGGAAATGGCAGTGCTGTAGAAGTAGGAAATGTCAGTGTTGTAGAAGTAGGAAATGTCAGTGCTGCAGAAGTAGGAAATACTAGTTCTTGCAGTAGGAAATGTCAGTGCTGTAGTGGAAATATCAGTAGGAAATGTCAGTGCTGCAGTAGGAAATGTCAGTGCTGTAGAAGTAGGACTGTCTTGAAGAAATGTCAGGTTGTTGTAGTAGGAAATGTCAGTATTGTTGAAGTAGGAAATGTCAGTGCTGCAGAAGTAGAAATAAGTTTGAGTAGGAAATGGCAGTGTTGTAGAAGTAGGAAATGTCAGTGCTGTAGAAGTAGGAAATGTCAGTGTTGTAGAAGTAGGAAATGTCAGTGTTGTAGAAGTAGGAAATGGCAGTGCTGTAGAAGTAGGAAATGGCAGTGTTGTAGAAGTAGGAAATGGCAGTGCTGTAGAAGTAGGAAATGTCAGTGCTGTAGAAGTAGGAAATGCCAGTGCTGCAGAAGTAGGAAATACTAGTCTTGCAGTAGGAAATGTCAGTGTTGTAGAAGTAGGAAATGTCAAATGGCAGTGTTGTAGAAGTAGGAAATGGCAGTGTTGTAGAAGTAGGAAATGTCAGTGTTGTAGAAGGAGGAAATGTCAGTGTTGTTGAAGTAGGAAATGTCAGTGCTGTAGAAGTAGGAAATGTCAGTGTTGTAGAAGTAGGAAATGTCAGTGCTGTAGTAGGAAATGTCAGTGCTGTAGTAGGAAATGCCAGTGCTGCAGAAGTAGGAAATGTCAGTGCTGAAGAAGTAGGAAATGCCAGTGCTTTAAAAGTAGGAAATGTCAGTGCTGTAGAAGTAGGAAATGTCAGTGCTGTAGAAGTAGGAAATGTCAGTGCTGTAGGAGGAAATGCCAGTGCTGCAGAAGTAGGAAATACTAGTCTTGCAGTAGGAAATGTCAGTGTTGTAGAAGGAGGAAATGTCAGTGTTGTTGAAGTAGGAAATGCAGTGCTGTAGTAGGAAATGTCAGTGCTGCAGGAGGAAATGCCAGTGCTGCAGAAGTAGGAAATACTAGTCTTGCAGTAGGAAATGTCAGTGTTGTAGAAGTAGGAAATGGCAGTGTTGTTGAAGTAGGAAATGCCAGTGCTGCAGAAGTAGGAAATGCCAGTGCTGCAGAAGTAGGAAATGTCAGTGCTGCAGAAGTAGGAAATGCCAGTGCTGTAGAAGTAGGAAATGTCAGTGCTGCAGAAGTAGGAAATGTCAGTGCTGTAGTAGGAAATGATTTCACCTGAAGGTGGTGCTGTTTCACAAACTGTTGTGTTTCACTATTATAACTCGATTTGGTTTTAAATCCCAACACCTTTTAAATAAATAAATTGATATTCTAAATGATATTTTTAGCTGGTTATCAACTCATGTCTTGGATTAACATGCTTTGTGTACACTATCTTATTCTTTTAATCTGATCTTTTAGCAGCAAGAAACATTTCCAGGATCGGGCGTATTCGTGACCAGTGATGTGTGGGATAAAGCCAACATGGTTGACACCGCGTCAGATATGACCAGGATTCTGTTGATGGGTGTGTTCGACAGAGAAACACTGATGCAAAGCAACTTGAGGGGTCAGTATTGTGAGTAGCACCTGACCAGTCAATTACTTTACACGCAAATCTAATAAAATCCCACTCTCTCAGGAGGGAAATGTAAAATTGCACGAGACATGCTGCAGAAGAAAGCCCTTGATCAGAGAAAAGTGAATGCTATTATCGGTGAGTTGATTTTATTTTGTTTAATTGTATCTGTCTGTCTGTCTATCTAGTAAAGTCTTGTAAGAGAACCCAATCTACTGCATGTTTCAGTTGCTTTGGTACATTTCTTGTTTAACGTTTGTGGAACATATCGATCATATATCGATCATCTACCATATATCGATCATATATATTGGTCATATATCGGTCATATATCGATCATATATCTATTATATATCTATCCTATATCGATTATATATCGATCATATGTCGATCATATATTGATCATATATTGATCATATATCTATCAGCACTTCTTGAAGCAGTTTGTACAAGCAGCACCACACCATGGATTATCTGCAGAAGTCTGTATCTTGTGCAAAAGTTTATCCCTCAGAAGTACGGTAATGGCTGTTCTCCACCATTATCGTCAACCTGAGAGCAATTCATCAATTCAAGACACATTCACCAAAAAGGTCTGAAAGAAATGTAGAGAAAATATACTTACAATCCCCAGATGTTTGGGGGTTAAGACTCTTCAACAGACAGATCATTTCAATTCTGATTTGAGAAATGTACCAAAGTGGCTGAGAGAAACTGTAATCTACACCAGCATGAAGACTCATTACTTTGCTCTGCACGTTTCTAGATGCTGTTCACGAGAAGTTCCCGGGGAAGACCAGGAATGAAATTGGAAACGCCATAATTGATCAAATACAGAGCCTCAAGACTCCATAAAAAAAATTAAATAGAGTCCAAGCAGATTGTGAGTTTCTTAGTGAACTCTTCATCATCACTATATCCTGATGCTCTGCTGACAAATACAAATCTACAATAAAACGTGTTTTACATGACCTCTGTGCTCCATTGTTATATCTTTCGTAATCTGGAATGTAATTTATGTCCCTGACTAGAAAACGTCACACATTTAAAACATTAATGTAAAGATTTAAACCTCTATATATTAACAGCAGCCTGTTAAACACCCACCGGCTCCTGCTTCTGCCCTGAACTCTTTTGGTTCAAACCAACCTGATAAGCAACAACAACAAAAAAATTACATACATTTTTTATTATTAAAATACAGTTTTTAGCTTTAATTTGACATAAAATCTTATTTTTTTGTCTTTTTAATGTTTAAAGATATTTACACTGTAAAACAATGATCTATAAATGCTTTTGGACAGTTTACATGTGCTTATACACTGATAAGCAACATTTATTCAACTTCCATCATTATACAACATATCTGTCAGTTAACTAACACATTAAAAATGATTAAATAAATAATTAAAAGAACTAATACTTTTTTACTGTTAATGTCACTAATTTGACATAATTTTAGAAATGTATTGACAGTATTAAACTTGAATTTAATAGTTTAATATATGAAATGAACAATAAATATAGATTAATCTTTTTTATGTTCATTTTCTTGAATTAAGCAGTAATTTTATGACAGTTACAGATTTTTCATGTTATTTTCAATTAGACATGTAAATTCACAGGATACTTTTTAAACTGTATTAATATTTCCATGTATTTAAAATAAATATAAAAACCTGTAAACCTGCAGATTATTTTACAGTTTAGACTTTCAAACAATTTATTACAACTTGAGGTACAAACTGGGTGATTTAATGTTTCAGTCAAACTAATCATCAATGAGCTGGATGAGCTACAGAATATCTGCTCATATATCACATCATCAATACAGTCTTCCATCAATATGAAATCATCCAGCTTTTAATGCATTTGGACATGAACCCGTTATTAAATCATCACCACAGTTGATTCAATCACTTCCCAGCTCGCGCTTACGCTGACATTTTATTACAAAGACGTGTGACTGATGAATCTGTACATTTTACGTGTTGTTGAATCGAGATTTAGAAAGTAAAAGAACCAATAAAAGGAAATCAAAGACAGCCTGTGTGTATAAAACTGCTCATATGTCAGATAAACCTGCAGAAATCAAGTCATTAGCATAGCATGAGGTAACATCAGCTAGCTCTCAATAGCTTCTTTACATGCTTTGTGGCTTTACGTTCAAAATACAAATAAGTAATCAATCAATAAATATCCAGTGTTATGCTAGCTGTCTGTAGCAAGCCAAGCTAATGTATGCAAGCTATGTTCAATATCTGAAGTTAAGGAATAGTTGAACAATTTCAAAAATATTAAATACTAGTTCATTTAAGAACACACTCCTGATGAGGTTAGCTTAGCTTGATGTGGGCTTCATTGATAACTGGAAGCCCTTTTGGGGAAAACCTGGTCTGATTAGGAGAGACGGCATCCATCCCACTTTGGATGGAGCGGCTCTCTTATCTAGAAATATGGCGAAGTTTATTTCTAAAACCTGACAGTCCAGAGTTGGGACCAGGAAGCAGAGCTGCTGTCTTACACACTTCTCTGCTCTTCCACTAGTACAGTCACCCACCCAAAACCCCATAGAGACTGTGTCTGTCCCCCGACCACCTAAATTATTTAAAGAAATAAAAACAAGAGGAGTTCAACATTAAAATCTAATAAAAATTAAAACCAACTCCTCAGTAGCACAAAATAAGAGAATGAAATGTGGACTGTTAAATATCAGGTCTCTGTCCTCTAAAGCTGTTTTAGTGAATGAATTAATATCAGATTATGATATTGATTTACTTTGTCTTACTGAGACCTGGTTGTCCCACGAGGAGTATGTTAGCCTAAATGAATCCACCCCCCCAGTCATATTAATACTCACATTCCTCGAGGCACTGGCCGAGGAGGTGGAGTAGCAGCCATATATGACTCGAGCGTTTTAATGGACCCTAAACCTAAACTAAATTATAATTCATTTGAAAGCCTTGTTCTTAGTCTTTCTCACCCAAACTGGAAAACACTGCAGCCAGTTCTATTTGTTATAGTGTACCGCGCTCCTGGACCGTACTCTGATTTTATATCTGAATTCTCAGAGTTTTTATCAAGTTTAGTCCTTAAATCAGATAAAGTAATTATTGTAGGTGATTTTAATATTCATGTGGATGTTGACAATGACAGCCTTAGTAACGCATTTATATCATTAATAGACTCAATTGGCTTCTGTCAGAGTGTAAATAAACCAACTCATTGTTTTAATCACACTCTTGACCTTGTTCTATCATATGGCATTGATATTGAACATTTAATAGTCTTCCCACATACTCCTTTCCTATCTGACCATTATTTAATAACTTTTGAATTCATACTATTAGATTATAAGCCATTAGGCAAAACTTCCTACAGCAGATGTCTATCTGACAGTGCTGTAGCTAAATTTAAGGAGGAGATTCCTTCAGTGTTTAATTCAATGCCATGTCTGAATTTAACAGAGTCCTATAACGACTTTAGTCCCTCTGAAATTGATAATCTTGTCGATAGTGCTACAGGCTCACTACGATCAACATTAGACTCTATCGCTCCTATAAAAGGAAATTATTAAAACATAGGAGACTAGCACCTTGGTACAACCACCAAACCCACCAGTTAAAACAAATAGCTAGGAAATCTGAAAGGAAATGGCGCTCTTCCAAATGATCAGAATATCCCTCAATTTGACATGATAATCTTAAAACTTATAGAAAGGCCCTCCGTAATGCCAGAGGAGCCTATTACTCAGCACTAATAGAAGAAAATAAGAATAACCCTAGGTTCCTCTTCAGCACTGTAGCCAGGCTGACAGAGAGTCACAGCTCTATTGAACCACATATCCCCATAAACTTAAGTAGAAATGACTTCATGAGCTTCTTCTATAATAAAATTATTACTATTAGAGAGAAAATTAATCACCAACTGCCATCAACAGTTATCAGTGTCTCTCCAAGTTCAGGGACTTTTGCTAATGTAAACTTAGATATATATTTAGACTGTTTTTCTGCTATCGATCTTCATCAGTTAACTTCAATCATTTCTTCATCGAAGCCATCAACCTGTCTATTAGACCCGATCCCAACTAGGCTGCTTAAAGAAGTTGTTCCCTTAATTGGCACTTCTTTACTGGATATGATTAATCTTTCTTTATTATCAGGATATGTACCACAGTCCTTTAAAGTAGCTGTAATTAAACCCCTTCTTAAAAGTCCACTCTTGATCCAGGGGTTTTAGCCAACTATAGACCGATTTCTAACCTCCCCTTCCTCTCTAAGATTCTGGAGGAAGTAGTCGCCAAAGAGTTGTGTGACTTTCTACATAACAATAGTTTATTTGAGGATTTTCAGTCAGGATTTAGAGTTCATCACAGCACAGAGACAGCTCTGGTTAAAGTTAATAATGACCTTCTGACTGCTTCTGACAATGGACTTGTCTTTGTACTTGTATTATTAGATCTTAGTGCTGCATTTGACACCATTGACCATGATATTCTTTTACAGAGACTTGAGCATCAAATTGGCATTAAAGGAACCGCACTAAGCTGGTTTAAGTCATATTTATCAGATCGTTTGCAGTTTGTACATGTTAACGATGAATCTTCAATAAATACTACAGTTAGTCATGGAGTTCCACAAGGTTCTGTACTTGGACCAATACTATTTACTTTATATATGCTCCCTTTAGGCAACATTATTAGGAATCACTCCATTAACTTTCACTGTTATGCAGATGATACGCAGTTATATCTATCAATCAAGCCCGATGAAATGAATCAATTATCTAAATTACAAACATGTCTTAAGGACATAAAATCTTGGATGAGCTGCAATTTTCTGATGTTAAACTCAGAAAAAAACGAAATTCTTGTTCATGGCCCCAAAAACCTTAGAGACTCACTGTCTAAAGATATAGTTACTCTAGATGGCATTACCTTGGCCTCTAGCACCACTGTCAGGAATCTTGGAGTTATCTTTGATCAGGATTTG